CCCCAAAACCCCAAAACCCCAAAACCCCTTAAAAATTCTACCAAACTGAAATTTTCAAAAAGCAAGGATATTTTAGCACAATTCGTGATAAATTAGTAATTTAGTTAAACTTCCTAAATCCTGTATTTCCTGTTAACAAGTTCTCCTTGTCCTGCATGATTTCACAATCTAGAGATCAGCAATGAGCTCACCTTCGTTATCGAATATGGGTGCTGAGTTCTCTCGATGGTAATGGCGCAGTCCCATCTGGTCCATCTAGATATAAAAATTTAGCTTAATTTTTGAAATATAATTCAAATACTGTTTTCTAATTTTTGCTCAAAATACCTATCAAAGCAGGCTATATCAAAAACTTCATTAAATAGAGCTTGGCCAAGGTAATAGATTTGACCACCCGAAGGACCCATTTCTTCTTTGGTCGCTAAATTAATTTGCTTATCAAGCTGCTTAATTTAACTTCAAAAGTGTTGGCAACATGAAAGGGTGTATAAGCTTATCTTCCATCAGAATGCTCTGATCTAATGAGTTTAGATTGAAGCTGCTTCTAGTAATAGATCAATAGAAATGTTCAAGGCCAGTAATTGTAGCCTCACTACTTACACTAAACCCAACTGGTTGCTCTCTGGCATCTATACGGTAAGAATCAGTTGAAGCTCAGGAGCCTCAATTACTTATCCCGTTATCCTGAGAGTCCATCAAGGAATTATCCTGAGTGACCTCAGGATGATGCTTTCTGTTATACTCATTCAGCTTAATTTCCTCAACAACGTCCTGCCTCTTCATACGCTTCCTGAACAGGTCATATTGAACGCTGACATCCCTATTTTTCTAGCAGCTGCAGAGGCTCCCTACAGAGAAATATACAAGAAAGATACCTCTTTCTGGCATTCTTCGGCTGTCGGTAGACCACTTCGGGAACCTTGAATGTAGGAGTGTCCTTCTCAGATTTATCAGAGTCTGGAGGAATCTCCAAAAATCCCTGGTGGTCAACCACCAGGGATTTCATAAGAGACTTCTCAACTGAGATGGGTTGGAACTCCTCAGTGCCTTCATCCACTTCCATATCGTTGTCTAAAGATTAGTATAGAAGTACCGATATGCAACATTTGGGCCCTGTTTCTGGTTGGAGGATATCTACACTGCATCTGAGGAGGCATTGGAAAAGCTTCGTGCCCAAATGGCTGTAAGCAATCGATTTCCCTCATTTTATCACTTGGTATGCTTTCCTCACTGATTTCTTGGGAGCTACTTTGGTTTGAAAATCTACCATGATTCGAACTCATGTCATCCTGCTCATCTTGGCAAGAGAACGGAGCTGGAGAGTCATCCCTACAAAGATGCCTGCTAGCAGGCATCTTTGTATCAATGAATTCCTCCTTCTTTGATTCAGGAGAGAGCCTGATAGAGTTCTCAAGATGTTCTAAAAGAGTTGAGCTTAACTACAAAATTTGATAAAGGAAAATTTTCGAGAGGATTACTAGTAATTTTCTTCTTGATAGTCTTTGAATCCTTCATCTCCTCTATTTTCAGAGGAAAATGGATGGCTCTCATACCCTTGATAGTCCTTTTATGTGGGCGGTGGTGTCTTTTTAAATTATTAGAAATTCTAAATCTAAGCTTGGACAGATTTACTTATTTTAACTTATGAGCTTGAACGGACTTTTTCCCTGTCATATCAAGTCTGTAAACTTTGTAAGCCTCCCAAATTTGTGAATTGTAATATAAGTGACAAACCTAAGTTAGAAAATTCATAAAATTTAAATCTAAATTTTTTGAATTGCAATTTCCCCTTATTTCAAATACAATAAAAGAGCAAGAGGTAGATCTACTTACTGCATAATATTCTGCATGATTTTATTAAGATCATCTTGTTCCTTCACATTAGACATGCCTTGGTGCCCATTTTTCTTTGTCTCAGCGAATGCTCTATTCATAAAAAGTTTAAATTTTACAAAAATACTCTTATAAAGGGGTTTTGGGGTTTTGGGGTTTTGGGGTTTTGGGG